GCCCTCGCGGGAGCCCCGTTCGCTCGCGCGCCCGGCCACGCCCACCTGTCCGCGCGCTCCCGGGCGAGCCGGGGTCCGGCTCCAGGCTCTGGACGTGACGCAGAACTGACGTCAGGTTGACGGTGTTGTGCGCCTCGTAGATGGCGCCCACGCAGTCCCCGAGCAGCGCGCCAGCCAGGCAGCCTCGAAAGCGCGACAGGGAGCGGGCAGCCCCAGCCCCTCCGCAGCTCGACGCCGTCATCGCCACCGCTGCCGCCATCCGCACTGACCCGCCACCACTTCCGGTGCGGTCGGCACGCGCCCCACCTCGTTGCTCCCCCGTACACCCGCGCCCCAGCCCCACAGCGCCGCCTCGCGCCCCGGCGCAGTTCGCTACCCACAGCGCCACCCAGCGGCCCGGAGGCGCAGCTCCGCGTGCCTGGGACCTGGGCGGGTCCCGCAACGCTGGTTGGACGCCACCAGACCTCTGCTTTTAGCTCCGGTTCTCCCCGCCTGTAGCCGATGTCACACCGGGTGAGACGGCTACGAAAGGGTCCCGGAGGGAACTGTCGGGCCGCAGCAGCCCTACCCTCGGGTCACTGTCTTCCGGGTCCTGCCTTTATGAAGCCCCACTCTGCCCTGGCACCCCAGCCCTCCCACAGCAGCCCCAGTTCTTGGTCCCCACTCAGGTCTGGGCCCGCATCGCCAAACCCTCCCACTCTGATCCTAGCCTTCCCTAGGCATCAAGAGGGCAGGCAAGGGTCCAGCTGGGGCCGAGCTGGTTAGAAATCGTGCCCCTAGAGGCCAGGGGGTGCTGGCCTAGCCCGGCGAGGGGCTTCCTAAAGAGGGAGAAGGGATAGGATTTGAACATGGAGCTTGGGGGATGGTGGTCATCATTTTTGCTTCTCCATTCACAGGAAGGCCCAGAGCCTTCTCACTCTCTGCTGGCTACATGCAGGGGTAGCAGAAAACCTTCTAGACTGAAAAACCCGACATTTATTATTCATCCTCTCCACCCCCCTTCCTCTTCCATTTCCCACCTAACCTTCCTCTCCCTCCTCAGCCCCCTAGGCTAGGCCAGCTGCAGCTGGCAGCTTTTGAGTGGACTCAGGGTACGGTTTGTGGTGCGGGAGAAGGTGTCCACCTCAGGCACAAACTTCTCAGCTGGCACAGTCAGCTTCCGACGAGTGTCCATGCACTTGGTGTCCAACAGCATGGAGTTGGCCTTGCAGGCGATGTCAGCCTGCAGCCGGGCCAGATGCTTGTAGAGGGCATCCAGAGCATCCCTAGGGAGGAGGCATTAACCACTCACCACCCCTGCATGAGGCTGGGAGCCAGCAGGCAGCAAGAGGCCCCACGGCTGGGAGGTGTCTCCGTGCCCCTTCTGCCCACTCCCCAAACCTACTGTGCTTGTGCCAATTTCTGCTTCAGGGCAGCGATGGTTGCCTCTAACTGGTGAACCTCATCAGTGAGGCCATACTGTGCCTGGAGGCAGAGGTGAGGGTTGGGGGTCCCAGGTCAGCCATACTGTCCCACGGGCCTGGGTGCTGCCTTATGTCAGCACCCCTGCTCCACCAGGAATATGTGCTGGGGAGCGAGTGATCCTGAGGAAACGTTAATGGGGGGCAGTGCCCCACAGGGGTACCCTCACACCTGGTCCCTGCAGAGCTCCACATTGGGCCGGTGGGTCCTGGACTCTAGCCGGGTATGGCATAGCTTCAGGTTCAGTAACTTTCTGCGCAGATCTTCTTCCAGGTGCCGGATGTCCTCCTGCAGATCCGCGATCTCCTGCAAAGTCTGCAGGGGACAGAGTGACCGGTCTCCACTGCTTGAACCCACCATGGCGCACCCAGGACTTGCTGGAGGGCCTTCGGGCTCCTCTTTGGACAGCAGGAAGTGCAAGCCCCAGGGGACTAAAGGGAGAAGGCTCACATTCTTCTCTTGCCACTTGAGCTCACTGTACACTTTCTCCAGCTCCCGCAGCCGCTTCCTGAAGGCAAATTCTGTTGCAACCCTCTGGGCTTCAAGTTCATTGTTGGTCTGAAGGACAAAAAGTAGGCCAAGCAAGACAGGGTATAAGCTCCTGACCATCTAAGGATGTCACTCAGGTGAAGGGCCGGGATGCCACAGGCCAACAGGGAACAAAAGATTAAGGCTTGAGCGCACACTTGGGCCATCTGTTAGCCATGGAGAAACAGGGTCAGGGGAAAGGTCAGTCACCTCAGCGATAGTGAGGGCGATGGCCTCCCTCAGCTCCGTGGCTTCTTTCATTTCAGCCTCTGCCTGGTTCTTGCTGAACCGACTAAAGTCATCCCACTGTTGAAGTGTGGACGAGCTGCAGGTGGCAGGAAATACTGGGGTCACAGAGTGTGGCCACTGTGGGGGTGGGGGAGAGGAGACTGATTGAAACACTTCTTACTTATCCGGGACACGTGTGGGATTAATCTTCAGAGAGATGTTTGGGGACTTGAGGTTGAGAGAGAGGCAACCTCTGTCAATGTCCAATGCCTCCATTTTGCCCCGATGATCAGAGTTGAGCTGCTGTCGGACTTCCTGCAGGAGGCTGGGGAAGGAACAGACTAGCTCAGGATCCATTCCTCCAAGGCTGCAGGGCTTAGCCCCTATTGTACGGCAGGGCCACCAAGGGACGGGGG